TTCAGCTGTGAATCTTCCTTCTATGTCAGTCAGCTCTCCAATTCCGTGCAAATATTTCCATCCCCAAACATTGCAAGTCACATGGCCACTCCTTGCTTTCTCATAAATATGCTGTCTAGCATATCGGGTGTTGTTCCTCCTCTAGCAATGCAACCTTCCGTGAGAGGTAGATGAGAAAGTTTTTTCATCCCCAGAAATCTAGGCCTTCTTCAGCATACCATCGAGCAAACTTCAACCTGCCCTCGCAATATCGCTCATTTAACTTCTTGGTGGCGGGAGTTCTATGGTGAATGGCTCCTTCGTGAAGTCTTCGCCTGATTGTTAAAGGGGAATAATTGAATTGGAGATCCTCTCTTATTGAAAATGAAGTCTTGAAGGGGTTGGCCTCAGCGAAATTCCGGATGGCTTCAACTTGTGCAAGTGTTGTTCTGTGCAGCATTCCCGTCCTCTGGTGGTCCTTTAAACTTCCCTCCTCTTCCCATCGCTTAATCCAATAATATACAGTTGACCGACAAATCCCCAATTCTCGGGCAATTTCAGTGGGTGAAGACCCAGCCTTCTTCGTGCAGATTATTCTTCCACGTTCAGTGATTTTCTGCGTGTGGTATTTCATGTTGGCAGGGGTCTTCTACAATTGAGGGAGTGGAAGGGTAGTCAGCACTGACAACACCTCTGTCTCCCTCACCTTCACGCCAATAACATAAGCATTATATATACACCAGACTAAAAGTGGTGTAATCTACGCAAGTCAGAAACAAATTTTTTTGGGGGGAGGGGGCAAATAGTCACTCAACGAAAGAAATACCATTTGCTGTTTACAATATTCAGAGTTTTGCAATGACAATGGTATTGCTAGATAAAGGCTTGTAAAAGTATTAGGCATATGCTACCGCACTAATTCACACCATCAGATGGATGGTTCGTAAGATTAATTTCCCTCACCTTCAATTGAACGTCATTATTAAATACAGACACAGGCTGACACACACACACACACTTCACATGCACACACACACACTCCACATGCGCGCACACACACACAGGTAGCAGTGAACCAATGATTTTGCTTAATCCCACAGCGAATTAAAACAGCAATTTGTGTTGCATGAAATCAACGTCTTTAGAAAGAAGTCTGTTTTCCATCGGTTACATACAACTGGATTAATCACCCGAAAGGGATTAAACGTTTGAAGATAATATTAGTATAAATTAATGATGAACAGGCAACCTCATAAACAGCCTGCACACAGCTGTGCCCGTTGCATGATGTTCTTTAACATACTTACCGATTTTTACTTATGTTTAATTGTCTAAACAGAAATTCATATAGGTTAGCCCATTGCTCTGTCCATTTTAAAATAAAATTAACAGTATATACCAGCAGAAAGGTATAATATAATACAAAACAACAAAGCACAACCACTAATTAAGCAACGGGGAACTAAGTAACCACACACCGATCACTTTTACATTCATTCATAATTTTTACTCCATAGTATAGTAAACAAATGGCCTTGAGTTGCCAGCTGTCTCCAGCAGTGTTCGAAGAATCTTGAACGAGACTGTACCTACATTACTGCTAGGTGAACAGGGGCCAATGAGGGCTCGGAAGTATGTCCAAACAACTTTTCCACCGGCCCGGAAATCGAACCTGTGACATCTCGCTTGGAAGGCAAGAGCAGTACCGTTCTACCATCGGTGGGTGGTTACTGGGGAGGGTGTCATCTGAATCAGATGACAGAGCAGGTGATGGGGAGGAGAAGTGGGAGCTTTTGAGATGCTTGATATCGATGGCTGAAGTTCAGGTGATGTTACATTTACCTTTTTCGTAAAGTAGAAAAGAAAAGAGGTACAAAACTACTCTGCCTGGTGCTAAGGCGCTCTTTTCAAAACTGTGCTATTTAAAAAACTTTGCGTTATTTTAAAAATAGATATTAATTTAATACTAGTGTTATTTATAAAAAGTGCAGATTAAATCCGTGTAAATTGAGAGGTGACGGTACAGTATAGTCTGGATTTACGCGGTCAATTGAACCCGTGGAGGTCCGCGTAAAACGAGAAACGCGTTAATGAAATAACAGAACATATGGGATTAATTGAAATAAAGACTGGGCCGACTCCCAAACTCCACTTTTTGCCGACACAATATGTACGTTGTAGTAAAAATAGTAACGTAACTTTATGATGGTATGTACACACACATTATATAGAAGATAAATATCAATAAGAAAATAATATACTGCACCAGGTAAAGGAAAAATCAAGGTGTAACACTTACGTTAGTAGAAGAGAGGGGTCGGCATATGTGGATGGGGGCTGGTTCCGAGGCAGAGGGCAGATTAGTGGCCCTCAGGTGAATCACTGTTACTACCCACCACAGATGGCAGGGCCTCCCTGACAAACCCCTCAAAGTCACCATCACTGTCACTGACTTGGGCTGGCTGTGGTGGGTTGCGGGCGAAGAAGTCCGTGATGTTATGCTGACGGCTAGTGTTGACGTGGTCGTGATGCATCTTGATGTACTGCTCCATACCTTGCTGTAGATGGTTATTGAAGACTTCATACCGTTGATTGTCAGGGTCGTTGGAAAGGATGAGCTACAGTTTCTCTGCAAACTCGATGGCATCCTTAACATTACCATGTGTTAACTTGTGTTCTTCTCGGGCTGCTGCACCACCTGCCTCCTCACTGACGTCATCGTCTTCCAACATCTCGTCGGCAGTCACCTCAGGATCCCTGATCACCTCCATTATGTCTTCGTTGGTGGTTTCGGAGAAGCCTGCAGCTGTAACACTCTGTGCAGCTTCTCTTGCAAGGTCCACTGCCACTGCAACAGACTGAACTTCACCAGTCACAGGTTGCCTCTGCCTCCCACCTGGGATACCTTGCAACACATGCCGCCACGCGTGACGAGTCGTTGTCACAGACAGCTGCCCCCGTGCCTCCACCAAGAAATCAACAGCTTTCTTGATGTTGAATTTCTTCCAAAACTGTTTGACGCGAACTTCTTGCTCCGCCAACTCTTCTTGCTTGTCGTCATTGCTCTCGCTATCGGTGTCACTCAGGTTCCGCAACTCATCTTTGGTGTTAGTTCAAGTCATTAAGGAGCCGAAACTTCTTTGCGGAGAAAGCAGCCTTAACATTACAAATTAATTCTTGATCCATGGGCTGGATTAATGACGTAGTATTGGGAGGAAGGATGACCACTTTTACATTGGGGTGACGATCCAACAGTAGGGGCGAGTGTCCTGGTGCGTTGTCAAGGAGCAACAAAATGTTGAATGGAACATTCTGTTGCTCGCAGAATTTCTTCATGTCGGGAACGAAACAGTCATCAAACCAGGAGAGGGACAGATCAGTGAACATCCGCGCCTTACATGCGGTTAGCCAGTGGACATTTAGCTTGGCCATGTCCATGTTCTTGTAGGCGTGCGGCTTGCGGGCTGTGTGGATCACCGATAACTTGAGCTTACAGGTACCAGAGGCATTGGTGGTAAACAGAACAGTGATGCGCTCCTTCTGCAATTTCCAGCCCCGACACTTGCTGGCAGACTCGACAACGAAGATCTTGGTAGGTAGCTTTTTCCAAAACAGACCGGATTCATCCATGTTGAACACCTGGTTGTCGGTGTACTGTCCTTCCTCCATAACTTCTCTTAAGAATGGAGGAAAATCACTCGCCACAACACGGTCAGCACTGGCTCCTTCACCAACAATGTTAATGTTGGTGATCTTGTTCCTCTTCTTAAACCCTTGCAGCCACCCAGAGGAAGCAGTGAAGGGTTTGGGCTCTGCAATTCCCATCTTGCGTGCCACTGTTACGTACAGTTCACGGGCGTACTCTTGAACTGACCGTGTGTCCACCGCCATGTTCCGTCTTGCCTGACGAATGAAGTAGCTCACCAGCAAATTCTCAGTCTTGAGCAGCACCTTGTTCTGACAGTACTTCACCATTGAAGCACCTGCAGACTTTGTGATGCTCATGTGTTCTTTTAACTTGGCGGCATCCTTCTTGATCGTCCTGATCGTAGATTCGTTCACGTCATGCTGACGCGCCAAATCAACTTGCCTCGTACCTTTCTCCAACTCCTGCACGATCTTGTACTTAACTTCATAGCTTAAAGCTCGTCGTATCTTCTCAGGCTTGGGGCGGCTTGGGCCAGGTAGTTCAAGGTTTTTCTGTGGTGGTGGGGGTCCAGCGGAAGCCATTGTTGCGAGATTAGCGGGGACACGAGAGAATTGTATACGCGATGACTGAGAACCATGCGACTGGCACGGGGTAGGTCAGCGACTTCTTCACTCCCGTGGCAGGGCACGTCATATTACGTTAAACCAATCACAGCTAGCGGGGGAGGGAGGTAAGGATGTGTGGCCCAATCACAGTCCGATACGTCATATGACGTCAGCGATAACGCAACAGCGACATACTGCGCAACCTTACTCGCGCCGCTTCCCTGTGTATGGTCAAGCATGGCGGGCCGCTTGAATCCAAAATGGCGTGGCGTGTCTGGACCTCCAGCTGCTCTCCGCATAAATGACCAAATTTACCGCGTAATTAAAGCATTTCAATTCTGGCAAGGCACCGCATAAATGACCAAACGCGTTAACCAAAACCGCACAAATCCAGGCTATACTGTATATTGTTTTTGTCTGTATTTTTTATAAATTTATTGACATTATGTTAATTTCAAATTTATTTGAGTTATTTAGACGTTATTTAATCATTATAGCAGAAGGATATAAAACTTGTTTAAGCTCTTCAGGATCTCAGGAACAGAAACTATTTTTCCCCATAAGTTATTGATATCAATATACAACTTCACTTTTTGAGGTCCCTCACCCCATCATATAACAGTCATTGCCTACACACCAAATAAATTTTCCCACCAGTCTCTTGAATCACTGGAACTCAGATTAGTTGGATTTCTATTTTACAAAAAGGTGGAAGACACAACTAGTACGGAAAAACACACAAGACACAAAACACAATCATTACTCACCAGACTCCATGATTACTAAGGAGACACATTCCCCAGCAGACACGCTAATGGCTTTCTTTCCTACTAAAGATGTTATAGGAGTGGGTTTCTTGATATCATTATCCAAATCTCCCATTCCTAAGCGTCCATATTCTCGACGTCCCATACAGTGTGCCGTGCCATCTTCAGTAGTAGCCAAACTGAAATTAATTAAGTAAATGTAGTGATACAATGCACCTATTTGATGATCTTTTAGTGAGCATCATAAACTTTCAACAAATATTACAAGTGCAGGAGAACCTACATGACCACCACACCCCTACCCAGATGAGTACTGCAAACAATGGGTAACTCATTATACAGTACTATACTGGACTATAGGACTTTTGCATTATAAAATAACTAAGTACTGTACATACCTATGGTGTTGTCCAACTGACATTTGCTCCCAGATTTTACCAGCAAAGTTCTTCACCAGTACTGGTTGAAACTTAAGGTTTGTGTCCTCATCACCTGAAAAAAAGATTGTAAAGCTAAAGTAAAAATAATAAACCTTAATTTAGGAATACTGTGCACTGATTACAATCATACATGTTAGTTACCTTTACGTCAGACAATTCATATTATGCTCAATAGCCAATAAAACACGTATAACTTTTTTCTCGAGTCACCCACTGAAATGTAAGTTTTCTCTCGTATGCTATACATCCCATTCTCACCCAAGAAATGCCTTGTTAATGTTTGTAAATTTTAAATTACGATTCAATGCATGTGTGTGTGCATGTGTGTGTGTGTGTGTGTAGCATTAAGATATGTATACCTACTGTTGGCTGAAGTATTTAAGATCCATTGAGTGTTTGTTGAAAGCTTCAAATGACTTATTTTTAGTGATACCTGTACTATAACTAAATGTTTGAACTCACAAGCATGAAAGAATCCACTAATTTGACACTTCCTTCAGCCTTCATAGGGTAAGGACATGTATAGTCGGCGTTGCCCGCTAGTGCGGCCATGGTCTCTTGGCCATGGAGACAGCTGCCAGCCTGGTTTGTCGGGCCTCCCCTTTCCCTATCTTCTTCTCCCCATCTGGATTTATTAACATCCTCCCACCAACAGTACAGTGCAAAGATTGAAGATCAACCCACAACTGATGTACAAAAGTGATAATTTCAACTTGAAAGGAAGAAACAACTGTAAGAGCGACAATTAGTGCTTAGCGGCCAATGTTGACCTGACACCTTGGCCTGACGCACCCTGCCCGCTGTACACTCACCACCCCTAACCCGGGATGAAAAGCCAAGAAAGACTCCAAACTACACCAGGAGAGAAATGACTCCCTACTCCACCCAGGTGAGGAACTATAAATTCCTAACTACATCACATGAGGAACAAGAACCATCTCCAACACCGTGTGAGCTGGCGGACCTACCAGGACCACGTGGTACATCTGCAGCTGTAGTGAGGTAGCGGCTTAGCAGCCAGGTACAACAGCCATCAAGACAGTGGGAAGGACTTTGTTGGCGCCAACACCAGGTCACAAGAATGTCTACAGACCAGCTCCCACAGTACCAGATTTCTATAGTTAATCTATATGTTGACTCTATGTTCCTTATATTTTTGTATTGAAAGCTTTTGTCAAATGAGTGACCCACTCCCCGATTTCACCGTATGTAACTTATCGTCTCTGTTCATTGTATATTTTCAGCCTTCGGACTGCCATGTTATCTTAATACACCGTTAATTATTATTATTATTAATTTTGCCTCCTGTAGGCTTATCAAATATCTTCTTGCAACCAGACTTATATTTCCTTGATCTAGAGAATTAAGAGTGTCTGATTGATGCATTAATTTTGTTGTCATATTCATAGTAAAGAAGTTCATAAAGCACAAATAAAACTAGCCTTGACAGATTTATAAAGCTGATGACATCACATTTTACCACCATAAACTATCGGAAATGTGATGGTCAATCCACACAGTTAAGACAAATATAAGTGATGCACTGGAAGCTCACACACCGATTAGATTATAACCGGTAATTTTAAGAAATACTTGAAAATTATTAGAAATGATACTTACAATAATATGAAAAGCACATGAGTCAGAGTAATTAACCTGTATTCCCTAGTTTGATACATTCCTGTTATGAGCTTCACCGACACACAGGGATAGAGTTCATTCTGAACAATGTTCCCATGTACCTGGCAGGTCCTACACTGTGTACCGTATATACTCTTGTGTAGTTCAAGTTTTTAAGACCAAATTTTTAGGCAAAAAATTGGGAGTCGACCTCTACATGGTTAATAGTCTTGTTAGGTTGAATCCGTGCATGATGGGAAGGGCGAGGAGCAACTTTTAGCTTCAGACATGAAAAATATTTACCACTTACTGCCAGTAAACAATGGAAACATAAAATATGTACCAATTAGTAATGAAAAGTTGTGCAGTTCCTTCAGCAGATGAAGCTCACCCACTTACAATAGGCTAAATTGCCTTACAACGTGCTTTAAGACGTCTATGTTGAAGTTCTTAGCACAGGCTAACTTATCATATCATACAGTCAACCCTCACTTTACGCAGTCCCACATTCCGCGTTTACGCGGTACCCTGCCGGAACCCAGGATGCTCACATTATGCGGTGCGTGTACCCCTTTACGTGGGTGAAGTATAATTTTTTATTTAGCTCATAAAATTCATACAAATTATCCGGCCAGAATATAATTTACATTGCTGGAATTCTTACAATTTGATGATCATTTTGAATATAAGCATCATAGATTTTGCATTAGACATATAAATTTTAGATCTAATGCAAGTATTTTGTTTACTCAGAGCAAATATGTTATCTTTTGTGCAAATGTATGAAGTGTATATTCAAAATATTCCTGGTCTTGCAAGGAATCCAGCAATGTCAATTATATTATCCTAACTTTAGTCTGAGGTATTATTTATTACTAAAAAGGTAAATATTCTGGTTTCTCCCAAACATTTATCTGGTAGGGAGGGTTGGTGGGGGGTGGGGGGGAGGGAGGGAGGGACCGACCGACCATCTGGCGCGGTTGGAAGAGGGGGGGAGGCAAGGTGGGGTACTTTGTGTTATCCAAGTTGGACCTTGGTGTGAGTTGCAGACCCAGCCAACCTGTATGTAAGTCCTCCTGTATGTGCCAGTGTGGAAGGATCCTGAGTATTTTAGCAGTATTATTATGAGGCGATTTTTAAGACAGTGAATCAGTAATAATACGGCATATGGTTGTTATGGATGTTAAGTGAACCAGATGTACTCACAGCTCATATGTAATGTTGCGTATTTCTACATGTGGTGCTATTTAATTACCAGTGTGATCTATAGCCAAGGTGCTTAATGTTGCTATAATTCACAGTACAGCTGAACAGTACAAGAGTTATTGAAAGGTGTTTGTAGTGACCACTATCCTTGTGTCACTGTTGTAGAGTATTTCCCATGAGCTGGTATGTTTTTACCGAGTGCTGCAAGTATTAATTAGAACTACCCGTACTTATTTTTCTACTAGCGAAGTCGGACTTAAAGATCTTTATATTTTGTATAAGTGTTGACGTAATGTTTACCAAGTACAGTATTGAGTTACTTTAATCTGTGATTGATGGTTCAAGATGTTCACAGTAATAATATTTGCTTTTAATAAATACTAAATAAGTGTAATTATATGTATCACCTTTCATCCCTTCTAATGATTATTTTATATGAAAATACCAAAGAGAATTCATGCACCTTAACCTCTCTGCCAGCTACCAAAGTCAACTCAGAGGTTTTAATATTGATGTTATATTCTGATTACAAATCTAGGTGGTGGCAGCATTAATAAGTACTAACTTATGAAAAGAATGTGTAATAGTGTACAAAAACTTGATTTTCTCAAATACACCCCGAACAGAATGTAAATAAATAAATTGAACTAATGATAAAATAAGGTGGAATAAATAATATTAAATAAATCAGACCCTTACAACTGTATACAGTACATAAAAAATTAAATGGGATAATAAGAAATTTTACAGCTGCACATTTCCCTATCAATCCAATCATCATTTTCATTTTATTGCCACTTCCCACGGTTGCTTGGGTTAGCCATGATTACTTGATGGCACCTCTCCATTCTGTATAGTCTCTTGCAGCCTCTACAACTACAAAACACTCATGCTGTAGTATAAAAGACATGAGATTATGTAAGTAAATGATAATAAAAATAAAAATGACCTCACCAAGTTGATTGTAATTGTTGAGTCCAAATGCATACACATCTCCAGTACCTCGTGCCCTCACAAAGGTGCCAAGTCCTCCCGCCCACACATCATCAAATAGTACTGCTTTTCGATTTTTGAATACTTTTAGGGGCTGTGGATTAAGTAAAATTTCTGAAAAAAAAAAAAAAAATAGAGCTGATAGTACAAAATGGCAGCATATCATATACAGTACAGGTTGACAACCCTTTATCCGAAATTCCGAAAACAGAAAAGCTCTAAAAACCGAAAGTTTTTTTGTGGGGCTGCTTGCTTTTTTTTTTTTTTTTTTTTACAGGGATTATTAGCCCAGCCAGGCACAGATCACTGACCCACATCAGGGCCTGGGGGGCGAAAATGTAATAGTAATAATAATTCAATAATAATAATTATTCATAGTAAATAATAATTCAATAATAATAATTATTCATAGTAAATAAAAATTTTAATAAAAATACACCAAAATAAAATAATAATGATTACAATAATAATAATAATAATAATAATAAAATATAATAATAAAATTAATAATAATAATAATAACAATAATAATGTAATAATAAAATAATAATACAGTTAAGAAATACAAGAATGAAAAATAGATCAAAAGTGAGAAACATGACCTAGACCTATGAATTATTATTATTATTATTATTATTATTATAATAATTTTTATTATATTTTCGACCCCTAGGCCCCAATGTGGGTCAATGATCTATGCCCGGGTGGGCTAATGCACATTAAAAAAAAAAAAAAAAAAAAAAAAATTAACCATTCTGAAAACCGAAAGATTCCGAAAACCGAAATGCCTCTGGCCCCAAGGATTTTGGATAAAGGATTGCCAACTTGTAGAACCTCTGTACACCCAAATTCATTTTTTTTCTTCAGACTCTGAGGTGCTCCAGACCACCAGTCTATTAACCAGAAATATTTTTTAATTAGTCTGGAAAATCCAGCATCAGTCTGCATGGTTTGTGCGTTCGTACATGCCAAGCTCTTTCAATAAACCGTTAATTATTATTATTATTATTATTATTGAATGTCTGTGTAACACCACACGTCTCGGTCTGAGTCCTGCCTTCATAAGTACCACAAACAGTGTGCTGCACCTCACTACCTGCACTCGTTTACACCAACTTTTTAAGTAGAGTACTCGAGGGTTTTAAGAAACGGATAAAATTATGTAGCAAACATATTACAAGAAATGGGTAAAATTATGCATACTGTAATACCTAGTTTAAGAAATACCAGTATGTAAAATTAAAAAAAATCCTTATTATATTTTGCAGCCTATAAGTGGACGTTTGAAGCTCAGACTTTGTGTTCAAAACTAGAGGTCGTCTTATACAAAAGGTATAAAATGTCAACTTATAAGTACGCTCCACCACTAGCATCAGAAATTCACTTTACCTTACTGGTAGGTCCCAATCACTTAATTCTCAGCACTCACAAGCAAATTTTACCGAGCTGTAGCATTATTCCAGAAGGGTAACTGTTACTAAACTCAGCTTAAGATCAGTGTTTACACAAATCATACTGACACCTTTCTAAATATTCAAATATCTTTCGGTGTTAGCTACAGCTTCTAACATACAAACGTAACTAGGGCAGTTACTTGTAGTATTTGTTGTTAAATTGTTTAAAATGCAGTTACGGTATATTCAAGTAATGCACCTGGATTTTGTAAGCATTTCCACAAATGTAGCATATACCTGTAGTTGAAAACAAGGCAGGTGCCTGGGAACAGCTGACTGGTCTGCGACAGCTGCAATACACCGGGTGGCTGCCAAGTGGCTACCCGGTGTACTACAGTATCAAGCTAAGTTCCATGGTGATTCCACATGGCCGCAATCGTGTCATTCACTGAAGGGTCAAGACCTATCCGGCGCTGCTCCAGCAGCCAACTGTAAGGTTGGCCCATACCCTGACTCCCTCTTCCCCACCAGAATATCAGCAAGTTCTCACCAGAAGTTACAATTTCATTAGGAAAGGAGTGGAACCAGTGTTGAACAGTGCTTAAGCCAGTGAAAACAATGTTAAACAGTAACAGCTGAGCGCATACCCAAGATAACATTCACAGAGTGATGTCCCAGATACAGTACCCAGTGATAAATGCCCATGACACCCAACAACAAGCAGCGAATAATTTGAATATAAATGTCATATATTTTGCACAGTGAATAATTTGAATATAAACATCATATATTTTGCACAAGATAAAAATTTTAGTACATTAGTTAAGTACTTTTTAATAATGTACAGTTTTTCAACTGTATTTTTGTGAAGATTTACATAAATTTCTTAATTTATTTTTATTCATTTACATGCACACACCATACTAAAAGATACATAAAACAAATAAATGACCTAAGTGCAAACCTGTACTGTACATGTACTAAATGATTATGGTACTAAAATTTTTATGTCTAGTGCAAATTATAGCTTGTTTTTATTCAAATTAATCACTATCTTACAAGAATCCCAGCAATGGAAATTATATTCACCCAGGTCATTTCACTGGCATTTTATAAGAGAGAAGCTTAGTCACTTAAGGACTGATAAATAAACACACATTAGACCTTCAGCTCCTACTGTCAAACATATCACCTCACCTCCTGCTCGCTCCCTCCCTCATCTGCCCAGCCAAGGTTTTAGCCTTACAGTTTTTATCTTATATAATATACAGACTAAAGTTAGAATATAATTTGCATTGCTGGAATTCTTGCAAAACAGTGAATAATTTGAATATACACGTCATATATTTTGCACAAGAGATAAAAATTAATCACCTGTATCACATTACAGTAGTGATTTAAGAGTAAGAGTGTATGTGGACGTACCGTATATACCTGTGTGTAGTTTGAGTTTTTAAGACCAAATTTTTGGGCAAAAAATTGAGGGTCGACCTCTACACAGGTAATAGTTTCGTTAGGTTGAAAAATATTTACCAGTAACTGCCAGTAAACAATCGAAACGACGCACCAACGGACCACCAACTGTGAGTGTCGGTACAGTTGCCAGGGCAGTTCTCTTGCATCATCATAGCAAGCCCAAAGTAGCCAAATGCATGGTATGGTAGCACAGGACGATGTAAAACATAAAGTATTCATTTTTAAAAGTTTACTTATAGATACATCAATTTTTGTTCATTAAATTTGAAACATCAATCTTTGTTAATTAAATTTGAAACAAAAGAAAACTACGATACCGTTTTTCTAAATATTTTCATTAAAATATTACATCACAAGTATATTTTACCTTAACTGTGCCTGAATGAATATATTCTCAGAAATAAATATGAAATGTAAAATTTTTGCTGAAATGACGTACGTATTACAGTGGAAACTGGGATAAAATCGTGACGAAAACAATGACTCACTTTCTTTCGTTGTTCAAAAGATTTTACCGTAATCGCTTTTCGAATGGTTTTCAGTTAAAAAGACTGTTGTATTACAATAATATTCTATCCTAATTCACTTGAATAAATACTACGATACCATATTTTTGAATATTTTCATTAAAATCCATCAAAATAATTTTCCTTGTCATTGTCATCAGCACCAAACAGCTCCTCCCAGTCCTCTCCTTGAACAGCATCGTCATATGGATCAACACCATCATCAGCCATAGGATCATCAATATCTTCATCCTCAATCACGCTCTCATTAGCCTCATAATCCCTCAAGTCGTCTTCTGTTCCATCAAGAGCATTCAAAATCCCACATTTCTTAAAAGATTTCACCACAATTTCTGGTCTGATTGCATCCCAGGCCTCTACAATCCATTCACATAATGTTACTAGTGATGGAGCTTGGATGTTGCCGCCCTTTGTGTATGTCTTATCGCCTTCTATCATCCAGTTGTTCCACTTAACTCTCACCGCATCTTTAAATGGTTTGTTTATGGAAACATCCAGTGGTTGGACAAGACTTGTTAATCCACCAGGAATCACAGCTGTATCAGAGTTTTCCTTCCTAATCCCAACAGTAACACTGTCAACAAGATGTGACCGAAACATATCCCACACAAGAAGACTTTTTTCTTTGCACAGTCCCCCTGGTCGAAAGTTCCAGACTTTTTTAAGCAATATTTGTATGCCGCCTTCATCCATCCATCCTTTCTCGTGCACATGGATGATTATACCTTTTGGAAAATTTTGCTTTGGAATTGTTTTCCTTTTAAATATTACCATAGGCGTCGGCTTTGTGCCGTCAGCCATACATGATAGCACAACTGTGAATCTTGATTTTTCATGTCAGTAGTTTTAACTAACACTGGTTTTTCACCAACTTTATTCAGTGTTTGACTGACTGGCATATCAAAATTCATGGGCGTTTCGTCCATGTTTCCAATACACAAAAGTCTATATGAGTTCTTCCGGTGTTTGATTATGAACCTATGAAATTCAATAACCTTGTCATCAAGTTCTTGTGGAAGACGCTGTGATATTTTCGTTCTCCGCCTCAGTACAAAATCATTTCTTTTCATAAATCTTGTGCACCAACCATGACTCGCCTTAAAATCTGAGATGCCCAATTTCCTTGCTAGTTTCAAGGCAAAGATTCGAATTGATCCTCGGGAAACACCATATCCATTCTGTCGGTTTCCACTGACATACTTTGCCACTTCAACTTCCAACTGTGGCCACTTGTTACACTTTCCTCTGTTAGCACATTTGTTTTTTGGCATAGGCGTAAGTTGTGCAGAGAGCTTTTTCCAGTCTCTAACATTTTTTCTGGAAACCTTAAATTCCTTTGCTGCTGCACAGTTGTTAGTCTGTTCTGCATATTCAATCACTCTCAGCTTGAACTTTGCTGTGAACTTGTTTCTTCTTGAATCCATGCTGAAGAGAATATGGGTCAAGCACGTTTACACTATAACAAGACACAACTTGAAATATACACGTAGGCTACTTGTGATGACATACTATGATGTGAGTCAGGTCATCTACACAGTTGCCAATTTCAAGATTTTCCGTTTAAAATTTTAAGTTACCGAGTATTTCTTTTCCCAAATCGTTTTACAATACTGTAGGTAAAACAGTTTCTATTGTGCAAACCCCACAAAACAAAATTAACAAATGGAGACACCAAAAATGTAAAAAAAAAATGCTGTCTGATTTGCAACACTGTTGG